AGGAGAGAGGGGGAATTGCTAAGGAGCTGGAAACTCTGACCGGTAAAGAAGCAAATGGTGACCCTGGAAACTTTGGAGAAACCTCTCACGGTGCCTGCATGTGGCTTCATGGAATCATGACCACAGAAGGGAAATGCAGTGGTTGAACTTGCAAGTTTCTGCGTGGTGTTCTATTAGCAAATGTGGATAGTGATTCTCAGTGCCACTGAGTTTAAATAAACACTATGACCTTACATGTCAAACAGATGCTAAGAAATGGCACTATGAAAAAAACAAAACACCCCACAATATTTATAACTTTTGGAGGGAGGGGAAAGATGCTAGGATCAAATCTGTCTGGAAGTAGCATCCTCTGATCCGGAAGATCTCTTCTGCCCACCCACAGTCCCCAAAATCCTGTAGTTTTAATGATGAAGGGAAAACCCTCACACCAGAGACGCTTATTTGTGTTTATTCCAGGATTGAGCCATGGCACAATATTGAGCGTTCGGCTGCCTGCTAAAGGATAGCTGCAAATAAGATGTTTACTTTTGTTTTTCCAGTCTTCATGCTTTTCTTTTGCTAATGCTTTTTTCTATTCTTAGGGACCCTATGATGTGGTGGTATTGCCAGGGGGGAACCTGGGAGCTCAGAACTTGTCAGAGGTAACAACTTTTCCGTGCTTCCTCGCTATCCGCGGGTCAAACCGGAAGTCGTCTAAAGTTAAACTGGTTTCTTTTCTGGGGGAAATTGGTCCACCTTCCCTTCCCTTGTATAATGCTGTAGATATAAATCTGCAATTGAGCCAGGCTTACTCGAGCGGTTTTGAAACAAAAGAGGGCCCAATGGCATGTTTTGGGGGTGTGGGGGCAGGGAGAGGAAGAAGCAGTTTCCTTTAGTCATCTAGTAACAACAAAATCTTCCAACACCTTCTTTTGCATCCTTTTTCTTTGTTGGACGACCAGTTCTTATACATAACAGCCTTCTTGTGTGCATAGCTGGAAAAGGATAGCTTGTTGATCAAATAATATCTTTCCTTGCAGTCACCTGCTGTGAAGGAGGTCCTGAAAGACCAAGATGGCAGGAAAGGGCTGATTGCTGCCATCTGTGCAGGTATGCTATCAAGGTCCGCACCCAACACTCCAAAGATCCAGGATACCAACCCTGCATAGAGCTTCGCCTACGACAGCTGATGCCATTGGCTGCCTCACTTCTGAGGTTTGGCTTTCTTGTGCCACTAATGGTGTAAAGAAAAACACAACTAATATTGGCTTGCTGCAAGTCTTGCGGGTTTGAAAACTGAGAGTTGAAACGCTGTCTCAAATCTCTACCCGTTGAGGAGAGAAACTTGAAGATAACAATCCCGTTATTTGTGCTTGCCCCCAGGTGGAAAACGCTCTGTTTATACAGCGAAGCAGGCCTGGTTTGTTTTTTGAAGGGAGGCTTCCTTTAGGGGCAGCTTCTCTGAGTTGGGATGTGACACAAAATAACACTGCAGAAATAGCTGCATTTCCCCCATGGAATCCTAGGTCCCTCTTCCAGTTAGCAGCTGCTGGCTGTGATTCTCTTCCCTCCTTGCTGCTTCTGACAGGGTGGCTGGCCGGGCTGTGCTGTGCTTGCCATATGTGGTGTGGCTTGACCTTCTCTCACCACTTGGCCTTTGGGTGCTGTGAGTGTCGGGTTCCGCAGACTCCTGAGAGTTGCTCAAAAGCATTCTGGGTTGGCTCTTGTGAAGGGATCCGTTTGCAAGAAATGCATGTGGATGTCTTAAGCTTGGCCTACCACTCCAGGAGGCCTCTCACTGTAGTGGGGATCCTTGACTCAGTCTCTCCTTAGACACACTTGCTGTAGGAACTCCTCTGAAGTGGGAGTGAGTGTCATTCTTAATGCAAGGGTTTCCCAATGCAAGGGTTGGCTTCTTCTGGCCAATGGGGAAACACCAATCTCACTCTACATTGTGGCAATAATAATCCTTCCAACTGCTTATTTGTATTTGCAAATGCAAGAACCAGCCAACCTCTTCCTTAGGGTGTAGGTGAGGCTGACTTTGACATATGGGCAGAGCCACCTACCTGTCAAATGACCTGCAGTCATGGTGACATCAGGTGACTGATAGGTGGGCAGCCCCAGCCCCCTGTCGAAGTTGACCCATAGGGTGTGAGGAGTCGTCAGCTTCACCAGCGCCTTCCCCACAGGGAACTTACCGGCAGGAGTGAACTCTGGGTTATGTGCTAGCTCTACACACCCGAAAGGTGTTACCAAACTTCCTGTTACCTTCCTCTTCCAGTTCAGTGGTTTAACCAGGACTAATCTTTTAGTGACTTGCTAATGACACAGGGCACAATGGTGTTTTTGTTGCCAGATTAAAAGGAGGGAGATCGCTTTGAAACTCTGCATAAAAGTTCCCTCTCTTAGTTATGTAGATCAGTTCAGTATGTGTTGTACTTTGTTCAGTGGGACTTAAAGGGAGGTTAAAGGACCCCTGACCATTCGGTCCAGTCATGACCGACTCTGGGGTTGCGGCGCTCATCTCGCTTTATTGGCCAAGGGAGCCGGCGCACAGCTTCCGGGTCATGTGGCCAGCATGACTAAGCCGCTTCTGGCGAACCAGAGCAGTGCACGGAAACGCCATTTACCTTCCTGCTGGAGCGGTACCTATTTATCTACTTGCACTTTGACACGCTAGGTTGGCACTTTGACATGCTAGGTTGGCAGGAGCAGGGACCGAGCAACGGGAGCTCACCCCTTCCCGGACTTTTGAATCACCAACCTTCTGATCAGCAAGTCCTAGGCTCTGTGGTTTAACCCACAGCGCCGCCCGCGTCAGTGCGACTTACTCCCAAGCAAATGGTGATGGGTGTACTACAAGTTGCATAACTTAATTGCAGGTTGTTAGCAACTAGGGAATCGTCATCCCACATATTCGGAAGTTTTGTTGAAACGGGGGGGAAAGGTTTTATGGTCTTCCTTTATTTAAACCTAATGCTATCATTTCAAGCTTATTAACTGCACACACTTAACCGTTCCTCCCAAATCCTGCATGGGTAGGGCGTGTGATGGTGGTAATGGAAGGGTGAGGGATTCCCAACACTTTTGTGGATCTGGCCTCACTTGCCACTTCGATGCTGGGACATCTTTCCAGCATGGTAAATGTGGCCCCGGGTTCCAAAAAAAGGGTTCCCGCTATAAAGTGTGCACAAGTGACGGCTCTTTGTTGATCTCTAGGACCCACGGCTCTGCTGGCACATGGCATCGGATACGGATGCAAAGTGACAACCCATCCCTTGGCCAAAGACAAGATGATGAGCGGAGGTAGGTGGCTGCAGGCGCACGGCAGAGATTGACTTGTGCAGAGAGTGTTTCATGAAGCACAGCTCAGGATTGTAATTAAGATGCCTTTCCCCCAAAAGGAATGTCGGGTAACACACAAGTATTATCAGAGACTTTGGATTTGAGGAATTGCCAGTTCTGCGAGACCTAAATCCGGCGGCAGTTCAAAGTTTGAGGTTTTTACCTCTTTGGGTGTCCCTCTCCCCTTACAAACCATCAGTATATAAACTTTATGAAATAAATAAAGGATGAGAATTGCGGCTTCTCGCCTTGCTACAGTGGATGAGGTTCATAGTTGGGGGTGGAGTTACTTCCTACACATTCAAGGCAGCTTCCTGTGACTGATGCCTGCTGGAGTAACCTGTTCTGTTATGTTTTTTTCCCTTGTGCTTTCCTCTGAAGACCACTACAAATACTCCGAGAGCCGCGTGGAAAAAGATGGACACATCCTCACCAGCCGGGGACCCGGCACCAGTTTCGAGTTTGGCCTTGTGATTGTGGAAACGCTGCTGGGGAAAGAGGTGGCCGCACAGGTGAAGGCCCCCCTTGTCCTGAAAGACTAGGGCAGTGCCTTGCTGAAAGAGGAGAAAGCCTTGTGGCAGAAAGCCTTTTTTCCCTTTTATAGCAATAGTAACACACATTCTCACACAGGTCAGGCAGCCCCCTTAAGCACAGCAGCAGCAGCAGCAGCAGAGATGATAGTTGCACTTAAGCCTGGAAACTTGAAGCAGCCTGGAGGGGAAGGTGCTGCTGTCCAAGTCCCTTTTGTGTTTTCCGAGACCCTATTGCTTTCAATAAAAGAGGAACTCTGTTGAAGAGGTTTGTCTTGTATTTGTGGCCCTGTTTATTTATTTAAGAATCCACATCCCATTGTTCTTTTATCTTTTATCCCAATAAAACAGTTTAAAAAAATCTGAGTACAACAGCAAAAATAAAACCACCAAACTGTAAGACTTAAGCAGTGACCCACCTGCAATCCAAATGTGTTGCAAAACAGGCTTGCTAAGGTGGTGGCTTTGAAGCCATATGAAGTTGGGACTAGGTGGGCAGCTGTCCTGGGGTTGGAATTCAGCTAAGCTTTACCAGATGAAGCCACGTATTTGTCTTGCACTGCTTCAGCATAGGCAAAGGGGTGGATTTGTTTCATTGTTTGAAAAGATGCAAGATTTCGCCAGACCATCAATGGAGCAAGTAACTGACAAGGGATAGGTTGAACCCACAGCCTCCATTCCCCCTTTCTAGCAAACCTTTTGAAGCCTAAATTGCAGAATCACAGGTGCAAAATGGCATTTTGGCCTCCGTGCAAAACAATGTTTGCTTATCAAATTATCTGGTTTGCCTAGTCAACCCATGCAAATGGAAGATAAATGTTGAGGGAAGTGATTAAATAAGAGCGATTCTGAGAGAGTACTGCAGGGAATACATAGATGGTTGAGACATTTTTCATGTTGACTACGTACAAATGACTTCTAGGCTTAATTTTCATATTCACTATTTATAGATGCTTAAGAGAAAGAAAGCAGCTTTGGATCAATGCAGTTAGTTGCGTGCCTGAAATCCAGAAGGGACGCCTCAATTGTTTGAGATGCCATCCAACATAAAAACAGACACACACTTGTCCACAGCAGGGGTACGACTGCCCCCCCCCCATGAAGGAAAACGATACAAAAACACAATTCTTTCACACACCCTAACTTGAACTTAAGGATTTTAATAGCATGCATAACACCTGAGTTGAATTGATGCTGAATCGAGTCTACTTTTGGCTAAGTGTTCCAAAGCATTGATTTATCCTATTTAACAAAATTTATATACCACTTGGTTGTTTAAAAAACCCTAGCAGCAAACCTGTAAATTATTTACAAAAACAGTCAAATGTCTTGCCCCAGGGGCACCTTACAGTGGGGATACCCCTTCATAGATCACCCCTACTGAACTTAAGGGTCAGTTTGAGAACACCAACAGAGAGTTTTGTAAAATAATTCTGCTGCCCTGGGTAGATGGTGCTGAAGTGTGAAGGAACAGCCCCCTTCCCAGATTCTCCTGCAGTTGGACTTTACTCCTCTTCACCCTCCTCCTTCCTACTGTGCCAGGAATGGGGACCTGCCCAATATTGTGTGAGCTCCCAGTTCCCATCAGCCCCAGCAGACCATGTGGCCAAGAGTCAGGGAGGATGAGGACGGCAAGCATAACTCCAGCTGCATCTAGAGGGGGTCCCCCTAAGGCTTCCCTATCCCTGCCCTAATTCTGGAAAGAGGGTGTCTTACGTGGGCCTTTGATCTTGCCTTCTGATGGTGGTGGAGGGAAGAGGAGCAGCTATCACTTTCTTACGTAGGATCCCTAATAAAGATTACACAGACAAGCGACAGAGACAGTTGCTTACGTGTGGACCAGTGCTCTTTGGCAGTAGCCAAGCAGCACCATCGACAATCCTGTTTTCATTGGACCTCTGCCCGAAAATCCATTGAAATTCTACACCGAATTCTCAGAAGCTTGAAATATACAAATGTAGCCTTGCTCTGTAGTTTCTGCTATTTGGCTCTCGGGCACACAGACGTTCTATGATTCTGAGCACCTAGCCTATGTTTACAACACAGGTGAAGTGTGCAGCCCGCTACCCCCGTCTCCAGGCTCCCGTTTCTTGTTGGAGCAGAAGTTTTCCCGTGGTCCTTCCGGGCTTTCTCCTGCGGGAGAAGCCTTTTCCCCACCCCAAGGAAGGCTTCTCACTGCTCGCCATTTCTGACTGTGGCCGTGTAGGCTTGGATACAGGTCTGGAAATGGGCCACCGTGTTGAACTGCGGTTGGAAGAGGATCAGGTAGCATTTGGGCAGGAAGAAGGTGCAGAGGATGGCATAGACGCTGGTCTGCACTGTGAACATCTGTAAGGCAGGGATCCCCTTGCCCTTCCCTTCAGTGGTGATGTAGATGAGCATGAAGCTGCCCCAGCCCATGAGGAAGACCAGCATGCTGGTGGTGAGGAGCCTCGCCTCGCTGTAATTCTTGGGCAGGTTGCGGCCCCAGAAGGCGAAGGCGAAGCAAGCGCCGCCCAGCAGGGTGATGTAGCCCAGCACCCCTCCTAGCCCCATAAAGTGGCCCTCTGAGCATTGCAGGTAGACCTCCCTCTCGCTCACAAAATCCTCTTGCAACGTGGGTGGGGAGAAGCGGAGCCAGAGGAGGCAGATGAGGGCCTGCAGGCCGCAGCTGAGGCCTACCGAGACGTAGGTGCCTTTGTACTTGACCCAGCACTTGGCGGCTCCGGGGGGCAGCTTGCAGGCCATTTTGAAGATGAAGATAATCTGGAAGGAGCGGACCAGGAGGCAGGAGACGCAGACGGTGAAGCTGATGGCGAACAAGGGCTGCCGGATCAGGCAGGTGACCTCGGTGGGCTTCCCGACGAACAGGCTGGTGGTGGTGCAGGAAGCCAGCAGCGAGGCCAGCATGACGAAAGCCAGCTTGCCCCCGGCCGCTTTGACCACTGGCGTTTGACGGTGGAGGGCAAAAACCAGCAAGCAGCCAAAGAGCAGGAAGAAGTCGACGATGGTCAGGATCACCAGGGCCAAGATGGTGGTGGTGGTGGTGTTGAGATACGTGATGAGCGGGGGGAAGCAGGTGCTGCTCTTCAGAGGGGACCACATCCCCGGGGGGCACAGGATGCAAGTGTCTCCACCTGAAGAGGACGAAAGGAGAAGCTCAGTCAGCTTAGAAGTAGAAGAAAGTGCCTTACACCAAGGCGGGCACCGACTAGCTCAGTGTTGTTGTCTCTACATTGACTCTCCAGGACTTCTGTGTGGGGATCTCTCCCAGGCTAGGAAAGATATGTTGACAAGCTGGAACATGTGCAGAAAAGGGCAGCTGAGATGATCAAGGGTCTAGAAGCCAAGCCTTATGAGGAATGGTTGAAGGAGCTGGGTACAGTGGTACCTCAGGTTAAGAACTTATTCGTTCTGGAGGCCTGTTCTTACCCTGAAACTGTTCTTAACCTGAAGCACCACTTAAGCTAATGGGGCCTCCCGCTGCCGCCGGAGCGTGATTTCTATTCTCATCCTGAAGCAAAGTTCTTAACCTGAGGTAATATTTCTGGGTTAAGCGGAGTTTGTAACCTGAAGCATCTGTAATCTGAGGTACCACTGTATTGTTTAGCCTAGAAAAGAGGAGACTGAGAGGAGATATGATGGTCATCCTCAAATGTCCAAAGGGCTGTCACATGGAAGAGGGAGCAAGCCTGTTTTCTCCTGCTCTGGAAGGTAAGACTCGAACCAATGACTTCAAGTTACAAGAAATGAAATTCCAACTAAGCATCAGGAAAAACTTTTGACAGTAAGAGCTGTTCAACCGTGGAACCGTCTCCCTCGGGAGGTTGTGGACACTCCTTCCTTGGAGGTTTTTAAGCAGAGGTTGGATGGCCATTTGCTTTAGCTGAGATTCCTGCATTGCAGGGCGTTGGATTAGATGACCCTTGGGGTCCCTTCCAGCTCTAAAGTTCTGCTTTTGAGCCCTGCCTACCCATTGTGGACAGTGAAAAAAGCTTTGGCCAATCCTCAGTCTCTGTGCAAAATGTGGCATAATAATCATAATCCGTAATAATTAATAATTATTTTTAAATCCCACATTTCCCCCAGATGGTGTCTTATAGCTGGTGAGCTTCCTGGGGCTTTGCAGAGCCCCACACTCTGTGCAAAGTTCGGCATGGGCCTTTGCAAAGGTCGTGGAGTCAGATAGAGACAATCGCTGGAGCCTGTGTTGCCATCCACAAAGAGCCCTTTGCCTGAGTCTCTGCTGAGGGGAGAGGGGCAGAGGGTGAAGCAGTGTTGTGACTCAGAACAAAAACAAACCCTCCAGAGGACCCTCTGTCAGCCCATGAAGGGATAGAGGCAGAAGTGAACAGCAGCGGCCCTTTGCACTCCTGTTCTGGACTCTTGTTCATTCGGCGGAATTGGCGCCATCACGAAAGACTTTGTGAACAGGGATTTGAACCCACCACCTTATCTGACACTCGTAACTTTCCTGCCTTCCGCCTCTGCCTACTTGGCACTGATGACCTCTGAGTCAAGGGAGGGAGCTAGAACTTGTCTTCAGATTCACAAACGAGGCTCCCTGAGCCACGCGGTGTTTGCACTCACCTGTTTCGTTTTGATAGGTCCCTTCCAGGCAGTCGTCACAGCGACATAAACACTCCTCCAGCAATTGCTTGCTTCGGATTTGACCCACTTCACACACTGCTATGCAGTATGATTTGGGGACCTAGAACAGGACAGTTCGGTAAAGTGGAGGCATTTGAGTTGTTGGCGACTTGTGGAAGTCAGTCGGTAGTTCACTGCACCCATCCAATGTGGTATCCGTCATTAAAAGGGGTCATTAAAAAGGAATAACAAATCAGTCCCCCAATATCACAAGGCTTTTATGGAAATCTATGTTGAGAAAAATGTAGGATATTATATCAGAAAAATGTAGTGTACTGTTAAAACAGAAGGGGGTCAAACCATCACAAGGGGTGTTGAAATTTTGGGAGGTTGGATAGTTACAATGGAATGGTCTCAGTGGTGGGGTACACATGTTTATTCTTATTTACTTATGATTATTACTTTGTCTAAATGAATGAATGGGGGGGGGGAATGTAGGATATTGTAAAGCTGGAAAAGGTGTGCAAGAGAGCAAGCTAAATTATCCAGGAGCTGCAGCAACGCCTTGGATAGGCAGCATGTGGATGTCAAGGAAGCAGCAAGAGGAAGCTTCCCAGAAAGATCTCTTTGGTCACTGTGAGAAACGGAATGCCATAGCAGAAGGAGCCATTTGGGTCAGATCCAGATGGCTGCTCTTAGGTTCTTTTATGTCCAAGTAAGCCCCAAGCTGTTCCCCAATCTGATGCCCTCCAGATGCTTGGAGTACAGCTCCCATCTTTTGTAAGATCTAGCTACTGACTCACAGCTGCATGAATGAAAGGGTTAACCTGAGCTCAGGTTGCCAGTGGAGAAGGAGCTTAGCAGGCTCCCTGCAGCCTTTTGTTTCCTCCCCACCCCTTCTCTCTCTTCCCCCCTCTGTGCTTCCTGAAATAAGCAACTGGGTTCCCTGCAAGTGAGCTGACTCTCTCCAAAATGGAGATTTTAAAGCCTGCGTCTTTGTTAACCCAAAGATTGCATGATTCTTTTCATATGGAAACCAAGTTCTTTGGGGAGTCATTTGGAACCTTTTCTTTCTTATTTTTACTGCCAGTGGATAGAGACTTGTTTTTTGTAACTTCTGGAATCTCTGTGAGTAAAAGCTTCACTTATTTGGAAAGCTAAGTCTCTGTGATTTATTCTAGCCTGAGCATTTATGTGGGGAACATTTGTTTAAAGGTGGGCAAATGTAAATTGGAGCATTTGCCACTGTGCTTAGCTCTGCTATGGAGAGTAAGAATCTCTTCCAAACTTCTGTCTCCCAACATCTATCATCCCCATCCAGCATCGCCCGTGTTTTCCTTCTTTCTGGGTGTTTCGCCTGGTGTCGTACCTGATCCCCTGGTGCTGGCCAACTGATTTCAGACTTGTTGATATTCAGGGCTTGGGAACTGTAGCTGCCGATCATCTTGAAAGCAGCCGTGCCATTTTCCCAGCTCCAGGTGACGACACTGTAGCCCAGGAACAGATCTCCCTCTTGGCCAAATGTGATGGTGTTGCCTTGCAGAGGAAAGTTCACCTTGTACAATGCTTCATAAAACTGAAATGAGAAGAGAATTGCATCTTGGGGGTGCAGGGGGAGGGGTTTACTGTGCTTGTTGAAGGATGTGTGGGTAGCACAGCTAAACATTGGCCTGAGAGATGATGATCCCTGTTGTTTGCTTTATTTCAGCTGGAGGCAGGGGACAATGTCAGCCTTCTCCAGAGATTCACGCTGAGCAGGATTTTCTAGAAAAATTATGTCAAGCATTCTGGGCATATTTAGTTAGAATTTAAATGCCAAGTTTCTTTAAATTACAATGCTACCTCGGGTTACAGACGCTTCAGGTTACAGACGCTTCAGGTTACAGTCTCCGCCAACCCAGAAATACTACCTCAGGTTAGGAACTTTGCTTCAGGATGAGAACAGAAATCGTGCAGCGGCGGTGCAGCGGGAGGCCCCATTAGCTAAAGTGGTGCTTCAGGTTAAGAACAGTTTCAGGCCTGGTGGAACGCTCTGCCTCATGAGACCAGGGCCCTGCAGGATCTGATTTCTTTCCGCAAGGTCTGTAAGACAGAGTTGTTCCGCCTCGCCTTTGGCTTGGAGCCAATTTGATTCCCTCCCTTCTCTTTCTTTTTTCTTTTCCTTCTCCTCCTGCGATGAGGCTACATTTTAATATTTTAATGTTTCAATATTTTAATGTTGTTTTTAAGTTGTAATCATTCAACTTGTTTTTATTATTGCTTGTAAGCCGCTCTGAGCCCTGCCTTGGCTGGGGAGGGCGGGGTATAAATAAAAATAATTATTATTATTATTATTATTATTATTATTATTATTACCTGCCGTGGCTTGAATTCCTTGCTTGCTGGACATCCTTCCAGGCTGCACCCCAGGTGGTTGTGGAGGGCCTCGGCCAGGATATAGACGGAAGCGTACGAATAGAAAGACCACTGCCAAACGGAACTGTTCAAAATGTTGGCTAAAGCGTCTGGGGAGAGCAGTTGGTTCTCATCGCAGGACTGGGAGCAAGCCTCCACCGTCGGGGCCTCAGAGAGCAAAGGGCCATCCGTCTTGTTTGACGGGGAGTGCTGTAGCGTTTTCCCAACAAAGTGTACAAATTGAGGCAGTTTGACAGGCTTGACGGTGAGTCCAAGCACGGTGCCTGTTTGCTCGATGTTTGGTATGGAAGCAATGGTGTCGGCTAAGATCCAGGACTCGGGTGCGATCCAGACTTTGCCTTTGATCTTCAGTTTGATGACAGCATGGAAGAACTTCCTGGTAATGACCACATTGGAAAGGACGACGACGACGTTGGTTCTGGCTTTCTCTATGTTCTCAATCACCCTCTGCAGCCGGCTTTCCAAGATGCGGAGATCGGCTGTCATCAGCCCCTGGTAGGAAATGCATATGCCCTTGGCTGCTGCCTTGGCAATCAAAGACTGAACTGTTTTCTCGCTGGCTTTGGTGCCACTGTCCACCGCGGAGACGTACTCCCAGCCGAAGGCCGAGATCAAGGAGATGAGCCCCGAAACCTGGTGGTCATTGCTAGGGATCGTACGGAAAAGCAGCGGAAAGAGCTTCTTGTCAGCAAAGATATCATTCTTGATACTGTACGAGATCTGGACAGGAGACAGGCACGTTTTTAAAAGCAGGAGGGCAATATGGAATGGTGTGTGCACAGCTCAGAGAGTGCCTAGAGCAGTGTGTGTTCTTACCAGGTGCAGATGGAGAAAGTGGGGGAGTTCTCATTTATTGCGTCCATTAGTCACCTAATACGCGTGACCAAGTTTAAAAACATTTACAACTACAGCCCCAAGGTGAAAGACTTCTGGGAGAAGATGTATAACGAATTGAAAAAAACGTTGAAATATACATTTATTAAAAAACCAGAGGCCTTTCTTCTTGGAATAACAGGTTTGGAATTGCCCAAAAAAGATGTTAAATGATTTTTGTACGCCACAACTGCAGCAATAATTTTGTTAGCGAAGAATTGGAAAACACAAGAATAACAACAGTGGAAGATTGGCAGATGAAGATGATGGACTTTTTGGAGCTGGATGACCTGACTGGAAGAGTCCGCGACCAGAAGGAGAGGAGTATCAGGAAGAATGGATTAAATTTAAAGACTATTTAGCTAAATATGTTAAGATAACTTAATTGGAAAAGCTTGCAAATAAATAGATAGGCTTAGGATTCAAATATGTAAAGATAAGTTTTAAGATGTTTAAAGTTAAATTAGAAAGAATGAAAGATGTTAAGTGACCAAGTTATTTTTTTGAAAAAATAGATTTTGGAAAACTGTTATAATGAAATTCAACCAAGGGGATTTGAGTCACTTAATAATGTTACCAAGATTTAAACAGGATGTATGTATGTCTGTTTGTCTGTTTTGAAATTTTGAAAATCATTTTTTTTTGGAAAAAAATAGAAATAAAAACATTCACAACAACATACACCTAGTTCTATGTGGTTGACACTGCCTGGCAGCAGGGAATGTTTCCTAGCCCTGCCTGGAGATGCCAGGTGCAAGGGGGTTGTCAGGCTTCAAGGAATCTGTTTCCCCTCCCTCACGGCAGTCTGCCAGTAAGGGAAAGACAAGAAGCTCTTACCAATATCTTTTAGTCAATATTCACAGAGAGAGACATCGACAGCAGCGGAGCAAGCCGATTGGGCGCCTGGGGTGGCGCATGTGCCCTGCGTCCAGGGGCAGGACCAGCCGGGGCAGGACGCTCCGCAGGGCCTCTGAGAAGTCTGCCTGCCTCCTCCCACTCAGCTGCCCTACAGCTGAGGGGGAGGTGGCAGGCGGACCGTTTGGGGCAGTGCGGAGTCTGCGGGCGCTCAAGCCACTGTGTCACTCCTAGGAAAGATGCGTGGCTCAGGCATGCTGCAGGCCCCGCGATGGGTGCTGCCCGGCATTTTGTCACCCCCCTCAGTGGTGAAACCTGGGGCGACCCGCCCCCACCGCCCCCCTTCCTCCGCCCCTAGACATAGAAATGCAGTCTCTCTTGGATAATGGCGTTGCTCTGAGTAAACCCCTCCATCTCTCCTATTATATGTCATCCCTACATTGGCTGATCTGTGCTTTCTGCCTCTGAGCTTTCTGTTTTACTTTCAATGCCCGCTGGGTCCTAGGAGGGGTGTGTGTGGAATACTTTCTCAAGTCACTGAGTCTGTCAACTGTCTCTCCCCTGGTGTTGCTTCTTTCCCCTGTTCCTCTCCCAATATTTCCCAGCTTCTCCCTTCTGCAGCCTCTGAACTGTGACCTTCTGCAAACCACTGTTCGAAATCTATACTGTCTCTCCCTCTTCTCTGGGAAGTGCAGGAGGAGGGGAGGGCAGTCTCCACCATTCCTCCTCAGTCCAGTCCCTGACAGTGGTTGAACTTGGGACCTTCTGCATGCAAGCGTTGTGGTAGTGGGGCTGTGCCCACTGAGCCATGGCCCTGAACGGCGGGCGCTGCCAACTCTCCCAAGCCGCCTACATCGCTAGGTGAGGCAGCTGCAGGCTCCTCTCAGCCACCTGCTGTGTTTGCTATTGTCTGTCATTTGGACATTTTACATGTAGTGCCCAAGTTGCTTAGGGCTTTGTGAATGAATTAACACAAGAGCTTTGAACCTGTCCCAGCAGCACGCTGGCAACCAGTATAGCCCTGGGACATCCTCTCCTGGGAGCAACCTGCCTGCCGCATTCTGTGGAAGTCAGAGCTTCCAGACCAGTTCCACTTTACACATTCACCCAACTGGTGAGGGCCTAACAAGGATTTGGCTGACTTAACTACTGCCTTTGGGGTCTTCCTTCCCTCTCCCAACATGGTTGCTTGGTGCCTGAGAATCCCTTGAGGTTCATTCCACAGCTTTTCTGGCACATATATGCAAATATGGCTGACACCACAAGGAACCAGTCCATTTGTAGGCCCACCAGCTCAGCAGAGTGGAGACGGCTACAGGGTCAGATGTTGAAACCGTTTCTCGAAAAGGCCACCGAGACTAATGCATAGCATCAATTTAGCAGCTCACCTGCGGAAGGCCGTAGAAGGTGAAGACTCTCGCTGTCAGCTGCGTCATTTCGGGCGTGTCGGGACCCACCACACCGATGACTCTCTGGGAACAGCCTCCTTGGTGCGAGTGGCACCACTGGTGTGGGGAGAGCTGGAAGGCGGCTTGCAGGTAAAGGCTGTCTTGACAGGTGTCCCATATGTGGTATCCCAAGGTGATGTTGGGGAGCAAAGTGGAAGAATTGTTGATTTCCTCAACAGCCAGCCTCATGGCTTGAAAATGAACATAGCCCCAAGGGTTTAGACTGAGGAAATAAATGTAGGGTTCAATTAAGCCTGTAGAAATGGTACCTCAACACGCACACACCCCACCAGAGAAGAATGGCAGATCAAGTTGATGGATTATGCCAAAAGGGCTAAAATGACTGGAAGAATCAGAAATCAGGAAGACCAAAATTTTAATAAGGAATGGGGGGGGATTTATAATTTATCTTAAAAACCATTGCAAGCAGTTAAAATCATTAGTAGGATTGGAATAACACTTGTAGTTTAGCGGTGAATTTTGGAAACAATGGAGAGGTAAAAGATTTGGATTATTATAAAAGATGTAGGAGGAAATGATTAACAAAAAGACCCACAAAGGGGAGGAGGGAAGTTCTGGAGATTCCTTGGAATCTTGTTTCAATGTTGTATGTTGGATATGTGACTGTAAAATTTTAATCTGAAAAACCAAATAAATTTATACATAAAAGTAGTTATTATTACTATTATTATTATAATTAATTTTATTTATATACCGCCCCTTATGCAAAGATCCCAGGGCAGTGTACAACATTAAGGACATGGTTTACAGAGCATAATGATAAAAAACATAATATGGAGCATAATTAAATAATCATAATAACAGTCCCAGCCCCCAGCCCAACACACATTTAACAGGCCATAGATTATTTAACGGCCGATGGCCTGAGTAAAGAGGAATGTTTTCACCTGGCAAGCTCTCTGGAGAGAGCATTGCACACATGGGGAGCCACCACAGAAAAGGCCATTCTCATGTTGCCACCCTCCAAGCCCTCTCATGGAGTGAGGGTATAGAGAAGGGCCTCAGATGACAAGTACACAATCCAGCTGGGTTCATATGCGGAGAGGCGGTCCTTCGAGGTATGGAGGTCCCAAGCCATGCAAGGGTTTGTAGGTCAAAACTAGTTATAAACGGACTCCAAGTTTACTTGCCAGCAGGCAGAGGAGGAGGGTGGCTGGAGAAGAGGTCTCCTAAAATGGTAGGGGTGGGTTTCTCCGGGAGAGGCATGCCCAGGGCAGCTAGAGAGGGATGGAGGGCCAATTGTGGCCCATAATCTCGAGGTTGCACCCCCCCCCCGATTCCTGGCCTCCCAGCTCTGTGACGGTCCAAGGAAAAAGAGTGTGCACAAAGAGTGTGCTGTGTGTTGCACCCCAGTCCTATCTGAGAGATTCCTGCTCTGAGCAGAGAAGGCTGGGCTAAGTGGGCCCCTTTTGGTCTGACCCAGCCAGAAGCCAGCCCCCCTTTTGTGTTCCTCAGCACCCTTTGCAGCCTCCTCATTGCTGCCCCCACAACCAGGTGCCCATGAACGGTCACCCACCAGCTGGCCAAAGACAGAGGAAGAGTCAAAGGGGGTGAAGCATGCTGAGGAAACAGCCCTGATTTCTGCTTCAGGGATGGGAGAAGAAAGAGCCCCCCCCACAACATAACACAACAACAAAAACCAGCCCTCTCACCTCTCGCAGGAAGGCAGCTGAAGTGGGCGGGTCCTGTTCCGCTCAGTGCTATTGCTATGGACTGGGTAGAGGCCGCCGATGATGAAGTCCCCTGGCAGGTTAAAGAGGGCCTGGCAAGAGCTGTTGGCAGCAGCCATGTGCCCCACCAGGAAGGCGGCCAGGACAAGCCCCGCAGGCATGGTGGAGAGAAAAAGCAGCTCGCTGCCTCTCCCTCCTCGGGGCAGGCCGGTAGCATGGGGTGGGCAGGGGCTTGGAGGAGGCTCACACGTTTCCGCCGACGGCTGGCTTTGCCACTGCTACCTGCCCCTCTCTGCATGTCACCCACGGGGGCCTCTTCTCCTGCTCTTCGGAGGAGGAGGCCCATTTGCTTGCTTAGAAAGTGTTTTACATGCAGCTGAGACTGCTTTGCTTAATGGTGCCAGCTGGGAGTGGGAGTGGAGAGGCGGGGCGGGAGGCCGAACCAACCCAACCTCTCGGAGGGAGAGGGGCAGGCAGGCATGTTGGTAATATCCAAGGCAACACGATTACAACAATGCAATATAATAATAATAATAATAATAATAATAATAATAATAATAATAATAATAATATATTTATACCCCACCCATCTGGCTGAGTTTCCCCAGCCACTCTGGGCGGTTCCCAATTGAGTGTTAAAAACAATACAGCATTAAATATTAAAAACTTCCCTAAACAGGGCTGCCTTCAGATGTCTTTTAAAGATAGGATAGCTGCTTATTTCCTTCACATCTGAAGGGAGGGTGTTCCACAGGGTGGGTGCCACTACCGAGAAGGCCCTCTGTCTGGTTCCCTGTAACCTCACTTCTCACAATGAGGGAACCGCCAGAAGACCCTCGGCGCTGGATCTCAGTGTCCAGGCTGAACGATGGGGGTGGAGACGCTCCTTCAGGTATACAGGACCAAGGCCATTTAGGGCTTTAAAGGTCAGCACCAACACTTTGAATTGTGCTCGGAAACGTACTGGGAGCCAATGCAGATCTCTCAGGACCGGTGTTATGTGGTCCCGGTGGCCACTCCCAGTCACCAGTCTAGCTGCCGCATTCTGGATTAATTGCAGTTTCCGGGTCACCTTCAAAGGTAGCCCCATGTAGAGCACATTGAACTCTTTATATAGTCCATACGGAACACTGAGACACCAAATAAACAGAAATATTATAAATCTCTGAAAGTCACTAAATGTGCACTCCTGATGGATTCTCTTGAAAACATAGAACCAAATAAACCTAAGTCTTATAAGTCTCTGAAAGTCTTTGTAAGTCTCTGAAAGAAGCAATGGGTCAGATGCTTATCTGATGAAAACAAGCCGTAGAGCTTTGTTTTATGACGTCCAATGCTGCCGAAGTGGTCCGCAAACAGATGTAGTGAACAGTGATTCTGGATATACCCACTGTTCCGTAGAATTCTTCTTAGGCACAGCAGAAGGATACAGAAATGCTTCATAAACCCATCTATATGGTGAATGGAATTGTATAACAACAATATCTGTGGAGCAGTGGCCATGAGCAGTTTAAGAAAATAAGAATCCTGCAGCTGGATTGAGCCAAAGGTTCCATCCTCCTGAGATGCCATGGGAAGCAGGACATGGGATGCAGCAGCTCCTATGGCTTCCAGCAACAGGTATGCAGAACCATTCGCTGCCTCTGCCCATGGAAGCAGAGCAGAGCCATTGTGGAGACAGGCTTGCTCCACATCTGTTAGTGCCGCCTCAAGTGGCACCTGCTTTTTAAGCAGTCACACCTCACTGCTGGGCTCAATTGAGAACCAGCAAAGACACTGGGATCCTTATCAGGGCTGCTGCTGCTGCTACCACCAAGGCAGGTATCCCCCATCCCAGGCTGGGGCCCTTCACTTTTTTGGTACCTAGATGCAGGACTTCACTTAATTTATCTCTGTTGTATGGCACCTTTTCGATTTTGCTCCAGCCTGCTCACCTGATAGGAGCTGCGTGGCACCTCCGAATGTCAGAAGCATCCCCCTCTACAGCCCCAGCCAAAAGCTTGATTAACTATGAACCCCCTAATCTGGGATCCCCCTCAAAATGGGCGCCAAAGTTTTGCAATCGTTTTGCAGCAGTTTCAGCAAAGAGTCCATGTTTTGCAGCACCCCACAGATGGAGTAATTGATGCATCAAAACAGGGTTTGTCGTTAATGCCCCCAAACCCAACGTTGTCCAATTCGCTCCAAACCGGCACCAAACTTTGGAAATGTTTTGCGGTATTTTGCAGCAAAAAAATTCCGTGTTTTGCAGCGCCCCGCAAACAAAGCAATAAGCACTCAAAGCTAGGGATCACAGGGTAACCCAAAAACTAAATGTCATCCAATTCACTCCAAACTGATGCCAAACTTTGGGGAAAGTTTTGCAGCAGCGTTTTGCAGCAAGAACCCCACAAACGGAACAATAGACACTCAAAATGAGGGTCATGGGTATTACCCAAAAACCCAACGTCGTCTGATTCTCTCCAAACCAGCACCAAAGATTTTAATCAACAGGACCTGAACCAATCACAGAAGCTTGCCAACATACCCAAGAATGATTGGTAACAGTTAATATTTATAAATATAAATATAAGCATCTATAAAACCTGCAATCAGAATAATTCAACCAAATAACCAAAACCAATGTGATGCCGTTTGGGGGGGGTCTCTGTGGAACACGGTTTTTGGGGCACAAAAGGCTTCTGCAGGGCATTCCTCAAGGTTTAGTGCCATTTAGGGGTGAATCAGATGGTGATGGTTTTGGGGGGATGCCGTGACCCCCGCAAATTATGTTGCCAAAGAAAACATTTTGGGGGTCTCTGTGGAATGATGTTTATTGGCTGCAAAAGGCTTTTGTGGGGCTTGTACTGATGTTTGGCACCATTTTGGAGTGAAATGAGTGACGCCTTCCCCCCCTTTTTTTAAACTGTGATTCCGTGGGTTAGCGTGTCGAGGACATTGTGTTGGTGGTCTCTGCAGAACACGGTATTTTAGCAGCAAAAGGCTTCTCTGGGCTGTTTCCCAAGGTTTCACCCCGTTTGGACTGGATTCATCTACAATTGGGTGCCCGATGCCATGTTGAATTAAAATGGTGGACCAAACTTGTTGTTGTTGTTTAGTCGTTTAGTCGTGTCCGACTCTTCGTGACCCCATGGACCAGTGCACGTCTTCCACTGCCTCCCGCAGCTTGGTCAAACTCATGTTTGTGGCTTCGAGAACACTGTCCAACCATCTGGTCCTCTGTCATCCCCTTCTCCTTGTGCCCTCAATCTTTCCCAACATCAGGGTCTTTTCCAGGGAGTCTTCTCTTCTCATGAGGTGGCCAAAGTACTGGAGCCTCAGCTTCAGGATCTGTCCTTCCAGTGAGCACTCAGGGCTGATTTCCTTAAGAATGGATGCGTTTGATCTTCTTGCAGTCCATGGGGCTGGATCAGGTGCTCCCTGGGTCAGGTCAGAGCTGTAGGTTCACACACCCCTAAAATTAACAAATAACACTATCCATTTTTAAATCACAGTATTTTTTAGGCTTCTTCGACTTCCAGGGCTGCACTGGAAATTTCCTGCTTGTAAAATGTATGTTAAATATGTAATGTATACTGTACAATTAACAAAATCATATATACAATGTATTATTACTGTGTATAAAAGATATTTTATATACAATAATAAGATATTTTATATACAATAGTGTTATATTAAATGTAATAAAACAATGTAATAGTGTAACTGCAGCCTCTTTTCCTACCCTCTGCTGTCACCTGGTGGCATAATAATATAAATACAGCCTCTTTCTGTGGACATCTGGTGGTATAGAAGTACTGTAAAGGGTCCCCTGACCGTTAAGTCCATTCACGGACGACTCTGGGGTTGTGGTGCTCATCTTGCCGGGGGAGCCAACGTTTGTCCGCAGACAGCGTGGCATGTGGCATGACTAAGCCGCTTCTGGCGAAACCAGAGCAGCACACAGAAACGCCGTTTACCTTCCCGCCGGAGTGGTACCTATTTATCTACTTGCACTTTGACATGCTTTCGAACTGCTAGGTTGGCAGGAGCAGGGACTGAGCAACTGGAGCTAACCTGTCGCGGGGATTCAAACCGCCAACCTTCTGATTGGCATACCCTAGGCTTAAACCACAGCGCCACCTGCATCCCAGTATAGCTGGAACCTATTTAAAGCCACTGTTTGAACTGTTTAGGCTCATAGCTTGGCAGTGCTGCTTGATCTGGTCCTCCTGTTGTAGTTGTAGGTGGCATCAGTGGCAAGGGGCACCTTTTCCCATCATGAGCCATGACTTACCCTGACCAAATTGGACCATGACATCATATTGCATGTCCTAGTGACCCCGAGATTAGACCAGTGTTTCCCAACCTTTTCCTGACTGTTGCCCCCTTCCGACCTTGTCTCCTTCCATGATTGTAGCTGGGGGGGGGGCAAGGGGGCAGCTGCAGCATATTTTAAAGATGAAATGAAATAATAACATAAAATAAAATCTGTTCCCTTTGCTTGAAATCACTAGAGCCCTGTAAATATGACTTTTGAGATACAGTCGGTCTCTAAATTTGTGGCTTTTGTAACAGAGAGTTAATGCCTGGAACAAGCGCTCCCCCTGGAGGCGGGGAAGATAGGATTGTGTGTCTAGGAACTTTCTACCATATGTGGTGGATATGTAGGAGAATACAGGTATTCTGGGAGAGTATCCATGCAGAACTGCAAAAAATGCTAAAGATCTCTTTCAATAAAAAACCAGAGACCTACCACCTGGGAATAACAGTTTTGGATATTCCACAAAAGATGAAGGGTATCTTTTTAAATGCGACGGCGGCAGCAAGAGTTCTGATCGCGGCAAAATGGAAGAGTAATGAAATCTCCTCTATACAAGCTTGGATATAAAAGCTGACAGAATATGCCGAATTAGATGGTCTATCAGAAAAAATAAAGAATAAATCAAAACAGGAATTTGTTTCAAAATGGGAGGTTTTCAAAGAATATCTGAAAAATAAATATAGTAGTTTAAATTCTGTTGCAGCATTCGAGGAACTTCAGTAATAGTTGCAAGGTAGATATAAGAAATCAGATATATTAAGAAAAAGTTTAATTATGATAAAAGTGTGTATTGGCAATAAGTAATATGAAATCGAAATATGGAATAGACGGGAGGTTGGGTCTTTAGTGTTAAGACCAATATATGTTTTATTGTTTGCTAAGAAAATTATGTGTCTATGGTTATTCCTGTGTGTAATTTGGTATTTGTGTTTTTTTCTTTTTTCTTGCTGTATCAATAAAAATCTTTTTTTTAAAAAAAGGACTTTGAGTCTAGGTCTGGGTACAAGCTGCTGAAGTGAGGCTCAATATTCAGACCCCAGTATTCCTTGTCTTGCCCAGCTTGCTCTTTGCCAACAGCCCAATCTACCTTA